AGCTCTCGAACCCAGAGCCGACCTTCTCCAAGGAGTTCTCCATGGCCGGGGTGGTGGGGATGGTGGGGGGTTCAGCCTTGCTCAGCCGCGGCAGGTGGACGCCAAGGCCGCCGCCTTCCCTCCAAACACTTCCGCCTCAGCTCCAGCCTCGACCGGCTCCACGTTGGCAGGGCTGACCAACTGCCAGGCGGAAAAAAAAAGGGGGGGGGGAGAAGCGGGCGCGACGTTTACGCGCTCACACCGAGGAGACGCGGACGAGCCTCGCAGGCTTCCGTACCGCCTCTGGTGGACAGAGGGCGCGCGAGCGCCGCAGGCCGCGGAGGGATGGAAGGGGCTGGAAGAGCGGACCAAGGGGACAAAAAAATAGGGGAGGCGCGGCGGCGGCGGCTCCGTAACCGCAGAAAGCTTAAAGCCCGAACCGTTTGTGTAATATGAAATGGCTCATCTTCTGTTATACAATATGTTTGTGGTGGCCCGTTTAGCCCCACGCAGTTGTCAGGTTTCATACCTTCCGCCCCCCCCCGCATTTATAATGGGATGCTCCTCAACCCCTGTTTGGAAGCACGACGATGACGGCATCGGAAAGACTGAGGCTGCGCAGTGAGTCCGTGACGAAGCGAGAAAGGCGAAGCGAAAGTGTCAAAGCGGGAGAACCCGAGCGGGGCTTTGTGGTGACGTCACACTATAGAGGGAGGGCCACACATGATATATTAAAATGAGTACCTCTTTTTCCCCCCCCAACACAGGACAAAATCCCTCGGCTTCTTTCTTATTTATTTCGTCACACTATAGAGGGAGGGCCACACATGATATATTAAAATGAGTACCTCTTTTTCCCCCCCCAACACAGGACAAAATCCCTCGGCTTCTTTCTTATTTATTTGGTGGTCTGCGCCGGAAGGAGGAGCGCCCCCGTCTCTTTTTTGGCTGTGCTGGAATTAACTTTGTCTCCTCAGGACTGCTTCCCCTCCCCTTCGTTTGGATCCTTTATTTATTTATTTATTTATTTATTTATTTATTTATTTATTTATTTATTTATTAGCTTTATATGCCACCCATCTAGAACGTGTCTACTCTGGGTGGTTTACATATAATATAAAAATAAACTAAGATAAAATCCAGAATAATCCAAGATGGGAAAAGAAAAAAAGAAAGAGGGGAAAAAAAAGAAGAGGAAGAAGAAGGAGAGAAAAGAAAAAAAAGAAAAGGGGAGATAGGCTTGGTGATGGCTGTATTAAACCAAAGAGGGTATAGATTTTATTTGCAATTTATTTGCATGTTTCAGGCTGCGCGGGTTAAGGACGACGAGGTGAAGCCTATGGGCTGCAGGGGGGCTTTGGCTAGAAATGTGCAAATGTCTTTTTTTTGCACTGCAACACCAAGAAGCCCCCCGTCAGGTCAGCCTTGTTGCGGCAAGAAGAAATCTGTTGCAAAGACTAGCCACGAACGTATTAAGTGCATCGTAACAGAAATCAGAGAGGAGCCCTGAAAAAGACTCCCACTTTCCTCCTCCTCTAGAAGCTGGCTTTGTTCCAAAGGCAAAATTATAAAGGCATTTCCCAAAATAGTAGCTAAGAATTTCATCCCGCATCATTTTGTAAACACAATTCAGGAGAGACCAGATTTTTTCACTTGTGTGACTCTCCTGTGAAAGTGCTGATGACTGTTGACAGGATCTGGTCGCTGCGATCTGAATAGCAAAAAAGGGGTTTGTCAAATGGGTTTTGTCAAGATTTGTATTTTCAGGTTCTTACAAAGCGTGTACAGTGTACAACACTAGTAGTGGTGGTAGTAGTGCAGTGGTCTCAGAAATGGAAAGGGTGTACAGGTTTTAGAGCAAATTTACCCAACGTTTCACAGAAAATGCAAGATAAAGAACATGCTTTTGAATAACCTAGTAATGAGTCTCTTATTAAAGAGGTACCATGGTGTTTGGTCCGGTTGCAGCCCAGCAGTCTTTATCTGCAGGGGTGGGGAAGCTGCCCTATAGCTCCAGCACTTCAAATGGGAATTGCCTGCAAAACTGTGTGCACTTCGGGGAGATGGCGCGAGATGGCGCTATAAGCTTCAAACGCCTGCTACTTCAGTACCGTAGGTAGATAGAACCGTTATTGGCATAAGGGCTATTTTAGGAAATAATTGAAACTAATTATGCATTTGGAAGACTAAATAAGTACATAATGCGTACTCATATCATCTATTGGCATGCATTTCAGGTGTCTAGGTTTTGGGGCCTGGAGGTTATTCAAAAAGACACACGTACAGCAAAGAACCTGTTGTAGAGTTGTATATAGGTGATAACAGAGTTCTTTGGCTTTTTGCTATCTTTTTTTTTGCTTTACAACTGATTTCTGCATATTGAAGAAACAAACATGTTTGTTTTTTGCACGACAGCCCTTCACATATTTTGTGTGTGTGTGTTTGTCTGATACGCTTGCACAAACTAACATGGCTATCTCTTTAAAATTTTCAGATACTGTACGTGGAAATGGTTATGCCACCTCTTCTTCATCTGATCTAACTTGCCATTTTCTTGTCACTTCTAACTGTTGATATGCCCCACCATCTCCAGTGGGTGCCCCGTGCCCAGCAACCGTGCTGGGAGGAGGCTGGGCATCCACTGGGGGGGCACCGACCTGCAGATCAACTGTCCATCTGCGAAACAAACCACCAAACGCTGACCTGCAGATCAACTGTTCATCTGGGAAACAAACCACCAAACTAGGGGGTTGTGCCCATCTCTGCCAGAGACAACGGAGCAGACTTTGTCAGCGTGAGAAATGGAGAGGAGGAAACAGAGGATCTTGGAAGAGGAGACTGCTGGGGGGCTAAAACTGGATGAGCACCCTGTGCGGCATTTTCTCTCACTTCTGCATTCGGAATGGAAAATACAAAGAAGGGCTCTTCAGGCCTACCTGGAAACTACTTTTTAGCACAACGGACACCCCTTGTAATCCCAGGTTTATGAGAAATGACAACTAGTCTGAGGACAATGTTTGGTGTGTGTGTGTGTCAAGGAATAGATAATAAGCACAGAGTTGTTGTGGGTTTTTCGGGCTCTTTGACCGTGTTCTGAAGGTGGTTCTTCCTAACGTTTCGCCAGTCTCTGTGGCCGGCATCTTCAGAGGACTGGAGTAGGAACTCTGTCCATGCTCTGTTGATGTTTGTTGGGTAGTGTTTATAGCTGTGGGGACAGCTTTTGTCTTTTTTCAGGAGAGATAGGGTGATCAGCATGATTTTGTTGTGATGGGGGGGGAGAGGGAGAGATTATCTGTCACTGTGATTGATGGCTGTTGTTAGCTGGAAGATCACTGCACAAAAAATACACCCATCAATCACAGTGATAGATCTCTTCCCCCCCTTATCACAACAAAAACATGCTGATCACCCTATCTCCTGAAAAAAGACACAAGCCAGTTCCCACAGCTATAAATACTATCCAACAAACACCAACAGTGCATGGACAGAGTTCCTACTCCAGTCCTCTGAAGATGCCGGCCACAGAGACTGGCAAAATGTCAGGAAGAACCACCTTCAGAACACGGCCAAAGAGCCCGAAAAACCCACAACAACCATCAGATCCCAGCTGTGAAAGCCTTCGCAAATATAATAAGCACAGAGTTATCTCATTTTCTTTCACACACACTTTAGGGTAATGCACTGCAGACATAACTTTCCTGTTCTTCCTTTATTAAGGTTTCAGTATGGAATTTGTAAACAGCAAATTGTTGATAACAGTACGTATTGTGCATAATAAAAAAATGCTGGCGAGATCCAATTGTGCGGAATCTACATCAGGCCCACCATGATCTCCAGAAATATTTGGAGACATCTTGCATCATAATATGATGATGGTAAGTCACACTGGCAGAAGAGCTGCTGGTCAGATTTTCTTCCTGATCGCGGAAATAACTTGGCCAGCTCCTTGGGTCCCTTGCAATTTAATTTGGAAAGGCACTTTGGAATACGTAGCATTTCAGGCAGCTGCAAAAAAATGTTGGCTTTAAGCCGGCGGCGGGGAGGGGACGGGACGGGACAGGACGTGGGAGGTGTCCAAAAATGCCCGGGGGAGGGGGGCAAGGTCAGGAAGTGGAAAGCTGCCCGGCAGGTTCTTGTGTAAAGGGGTGGCGCGGATGATGGGGGGGGAGCGATGTCAAGGAAACGGGCGCTCGGAGGCTTGTAGAGGCGGAGCCCACCCGGCGAGCCCTTCCTTCCTTCCCTCCCGGCGGCGATGGCGCGCCTGGTGCGGCGCCGGCCCTGGCTGGGCAACGTCTTGCTCTACGGGGGTCTCTT